CAGAGCTCCTCAAACAACAACAAATTATAACTGCTGGTTAGAATTTAAGGAGCTCAGGTGGCACAGTGCCCAAGCCATTTAACTGCAAACCAGAAGACTGACGGTTCAAACCCATCAGCCACTCCACGGAAGGAAGACGGCAATCTACTTCCGTAAAGACTTATCACCTCGGAAACCCAATGGGGGTTGCTATGAGTTGGAACTGACTTGATGGCAGTGAGTTTGGTTTTGGGTTAGTAAGAGTTCAAAAGGAAGAGCAAAGTAATATAATGTTTTTCTTTTAAAACAGACATAGCCCACACTCAGACGCAAGGCTCAATTAGGCCACAAAGTCCAAATGGCCACTGATATTCTACCACCAAGCTATAAAGGAACTTGTTGGACTCTCTCGCTTTTTTTTTTAAACTTTCCATTCCATTAACTATCCAGAAAGTTTCCAGAAAGATTAAAAAAGAAAATAAAAATGGGGAGTAGGTAGAAAGCTGCAAAGTATCCCAAGAATCTTTCCATTTGAAGGAGGGTTGGTGAGATCATACTGGACTGAGCCCTCCCAAGGGGTGTGAATCAATTAGAGCAAAATTACAAGAGATTTTGTGAGAAGCAGTAAATCACAGGTTGCCACAAAAAGCACTATTGTGTTTTCACTGTAGCTTTTTTATGAGGACCTTGGATACCACAGGGTTGTACCATGAAGAAAACTTCGAAAATGTCAAAAAAAGTATTGCTATTAAAAAAAACCAAACTCACTGCTGCCGAGTCATTTCCGACTGATAGCAAGCCCTCTTAGGTTTCTGAGGTGGTATCACTATGGAAGTAGATTGCCCAATCTTTATAACCTAAAATTAGCCTACTAGCTATCTGCTTCAGGAAAGAAGATTCAAAAACACTAAGTCCATGTTTCCTTTCACGTACTCACCATTTCTTACTTGATTTATGGCAATAGCTTTCTAATGACACCATGTTTCCAACCCTCCAATCCAACCTCCACATTGTCATCAACAATCACGTAGGAGAGATTCTTCAATTCTTTGGTTGCCCTTTATTTACCAGAAAAGGTCCAAATTCCTTAGCATTGCACATCCACTCTTGCTCCTTTTCCAGCTACTCTCCCAAGTGAGGCATTCATGTACAAGTGCTCCCTATATGTTTTTCATCCTGTCCCCCACCCATCATGGTCCATCTTGGCCCCTGCAAGTACAGCCACCATTTCCTCAAAATGTTATGCAGTTTGATGCTTCCCTGTCCTTGCAAATGTTAACCTACCTGGTTGGAATGCCCTTCCTTCCACCTTCCCAGTTTCTCTGCATTATACATTCATCCTTTAGGACAAAGCCTTACATCTTCTGGGAAGTTTTCCTGATACCCTTATCCTTGGATGGGTCAGATGTTCTTTGGACACCGTACTGTTTTCTCCCACTAGACTAGAAATTGCTTTACCATTTCCTAGAGGAGTGACCTTGAACAAGTTCATTAATTTCACTGAATCTATTTCTTCATATACAGAATGTTAGTATTAATTTGCTATTGCTGTGAAATAATGAATGTGAAAATTGTTTTGCAAACAGGAAAGCACTATGCAAGCATTAACAATTTTATCATAAACCAAAAGAGTACACAGGTCAATATTCTTCTATTTATTCTAAGGGTGTTTGGTTCTCTCTGTGAGGATGACCTGCATTTTATCCTATTTTCTGGCTCCATTAAGTCCTTGTGTTTCTATCTTCAGTTAAAAAAAAAAAACTACATAGTGATGTTTAGATCACATGAAGACAAGATTAAGTGACAAGCTCCTGAAGGGTAAGGATTTTCCTTTTTCTACCTTTCCTCATTTTATAGAGTATTGTGTCATGCACAAATATTCAGCAAATATCAACAAATTGAATGAATGAATGAATACAAGGATATTCTGCCCTTGTTGCTGTTGAGTCAACTTAGACTCATGACAAACTTATGTATAATCTTGCATAGTAACTGGAAAAACCCAACTGCTGAGGAGTCAGATTCCAACTCACAGTGACCTTATAGGACAGAGAAGAACTGCCCCATAGGGTTTCCAAGACTGTAAATCTTTATGGAAGCAGACTGCATCTTTCTCCCATGGAGTGGCTGGCGGGTTTGAACCACCGACCTTTTGGTTAACAGCTCTTAATTCTGCCCTTAGTGAGTGTATAATCAAGAGGAGTGACATGACAGATCCCTACAGGATTCTGACTTTCTAAAAATGATAATAAATGACTTTGTGTCATCTTAAATTGTGGTGAAAAATTAAATTACCTGCTATGTTTATTTTTACTCAATGATTTGGTACATGTTGTCATTGCTATCTTAGGGACACATGATTAACATGAATTTTTTAACATTATCAGAATTACTGATGCAATTCAGTACCTATTTATTGAATATTTATTGCAGTATGAGAATACATAGATAAAGGTGATGGACTCTGCCCATAAGGTACTAAATGTACAGAAAGGAAGCTAAGTCATAAATATAGGTAACAAGGCAGGATACTGTAGGATGTATGTAGACCTAAGACTAGTGACAATCACTGAAGATACTTGAGTTAGGTTGTTGGTTCTATTAGAATTAAAAGTCATTTATTAAAAAATATTGGTAGCCAATAGCTTCTGTTGCTATAGACTATCTTGTATAAGATCACATATGTAAGCTTTCCTACCTGCACTGAAGGGTATGTCTGGTCGCCTTATTCCAATTTAATTACAAAACTAATTGTGTTGTTGTCTAATGAATAAGGACTGAATGTTAACCTTATAAAACACACGTGTACAGTGCAAAGTCCTTTACGAATATTACTTCATTCAATTTCCAAAACAACCCTGTGAAGTACGTACAATTATCCTCATTTTACAAATGAGGAAACCAAGGCATAGGCCATGTAATTTTTCAAGATTAGGCAAAAACAGAAATATGAAAACAAACCTTTAAGAGACAAAAACGAGTATTCCACAGAGAGAATGAGCGGACCGCTTGCCAGAACTTGGCCGCTTCCCGCAGTGCTTTCTACCTCTCTCGAATGTACCCAGTGGGAACAACCTATTTCCCTCCCTCCATTTCCCGCGAGGGATTAATTTTCTTCCCCTGAATCCATAACTGAACTGTTGATTCTCGTGCAGATCCTCTCAAATCTTCCCACCCCAGAGGCCATGCTGCTATTGAAATCATAGGCAGTCCATGGTAAATGAGACCGAATCAGATCTCCAGGTGGACAAAGCTCTGGTAGGAACACGAAATTAAAAACGTTTCGGGTTGAGGATCCCTTCCTCGATCACCTCCAAGGGAGGCAGCAGCACCTGGCTCACCCGGGAGACGCTACGTCGGCGGTCTCCTCTCCTGCTCCTGCTCCCAGGCAGTTTGTGTTTTGCAATCTGCTCGTTTAGCCTTCACCTGCCGGCACGCCCTCCATTCAGTCCAGACCAAATGCCAGGGCGGTCAAGCGCCAAACCCACCCCGGTGCATCTTGGCCCATGTGGGTACAGCCAGTCCCAACCAAACCTCGGCCTGCTTCTGGCGAGGGACTACCGCGAGCCCTCCCCCGGCCAGCTACTCACGGTTCCAGTACACCGGGTAGCACTCTCCTTGGGTCACATCCACCTCGTAAAGTCCGCCTCGCACGCACACGGGCTCGATGGTCACCACCTCCTCCATCACCGGCTCGTGCCTCGTAGAGCGCGGGCAGAATCCGCAAGCGCGGTCCTCGTCGTCGTCCTCCCCGAAGTTGGAGGCTGGGCCTGCGAGGGAAGCGCGGCCGCACACATGGTCGCCGTCCGGGTCCTCGGCCTGGGGCCGGGCGCCCGTGGCCTGCAGCAGGGTCCGGAAGGCGAGCTCAATGCGGAGCGAGTCGTAGCCGATGAAGGGTTTCCAAGTCTTCTTGTCCTCCTTGTAGAACCAGCGCACCTCCTCCGGTCCCAGCTCCGTTACAACCTCGTAGCGATGCCGGGCGGCCGGGCCGCCGGGCCGGGCGCGCTTCCTTTCCCCGGGTCCCCCTCCCGCCGCCCTGCCACCCCCGGAGTTCGACGGGACCAGCGGTGGCTGCTGCGGCGGGTGCAGTGACGAGGAGCTGCCACCGCCGCCGCTGTCGCCCTCACTGTAGTAGCGCAGCGAGGAGCCCGACTCAGCTGAGCTGAAGTCATAGTTCTCGTCACTGAGGCAGGGATCTAGCGCCAGGTGGTGGTTGTGGTCCTCTGCGCCCGACGCCAAGTGCAGCCCGGGGTCAGCGCGCAGCAGGGCCAGGGGCACCTCGCCGTCCCCGGGATCCCCGCCAGGCAGGTGCTCGAAGCAGCATACGCTGCCGCCGAACGCCGGCTCCGCATCCGAGCCCAACTCCCAAGCGCCACCGCCCCGGCCGTTACGATCCGGGCTCCGTGGTGACCCGCGGCCGAGGTAATTCATTGTGCGGAAACGCCGCCGGCTGCCCGGCAGCGCGCCGAGCCGTGGCCTCCAGCGCTTCCGCCACTCATTAAACCCCGTCGCCCTCTCCAACCGGAATTCTCCAGCTTTCAAATCCTCACGGTGGCTGTGACCGCAGCGGCTGCAGCTCCGCCCCTCTTGAGGCCCGCGGCCGCAGGCGCGTTCTGCGGCCCACCCCATTGTCACGCAGCCCGACGTAGGCGGCGCTTGGGCGGCCGGCCCCACCCCGCCGTAAACCCCGCCTCTGCCGGCCTTGTGTTCGGGCCTCACAACCGACTTTGATCTGCCTGGGGTGCTGGGTCAGCTTGGGTCTCCAAGCCACCTTTCAGCGTCTCCAACTCCCTTCCGCCTCCCCCGACTCTCTTTCGCCCCCTCCCCTTCCGCCTTTCTGGACTCCCTTCCGCAGCTTCTCTTCCTGAACAGCTGCCTCTCTACTTGCCCACCTGAGATTCAGAGGCCAGATGTAAAGAGGGCTTACACCACTCATCAATCAATCTGGGTCAGGATGCTTAGGCAACATGTCCAGAGGGCCCCGGAAGCCACATTCTCCCAGCATTGGTTTTTTGGCCTTAGGCCCATATGAGGCCTCAGCTGGTTCTTCTTAGTCACCGGGTTCTGCTTCCTTTCACAATAGTCAGCCTACGTGAGGGCATGCCTACTGATTTCTCACCTCAGAGGGCACTACTCCCACTAAGACAACTGAGTCTAAACCTCCCTTCATATGCCACCTCATATTATTGTTTATCTTTCAATACTTATTTCTTGTTTTCTCAGCCTCATTGTAAAGCCCTTGATGGAGACATTCTATGTCTGAGTCTCCCAAACTGTGGGTACTTACTTTTGTTGGTTATAATGATGGCAAATCCAGTAGGTGTGACAGAAAGATAATTGGACTGAAAACTAGGAAAAAAAAAACAAAACTAGGTTCTAGAGGCAGTTTTAAGGCTTTCTGGTGGCACAGTGGTTAAAGCGCTTGGCTACAAACCCAAAGGTCAGCAGTGCAAATTACCTGCTGTGCCACTTGAGAAAAATGTGGTAGCAATCTTCTGTAAGGACTTTAAAAAAAAATTTTAAAGCCACTGCCATCCAGTTAGGAGCTCTGTTGCCATAGTACCTAAGGCATTTGGCTGCTAACCAGAAGGCTGGTGGTTCAAACTCACCAGCCACTCCTCAGAAGGAAGGTTGGGCAATCTACTTCTGTAGTGATACTGCCTGGGAAACCCAAGGAGGGGTTACTATTAGTGGGATCTGACTTCACCGCAGTGGTTGCATTGCATTTTGCCATCCAGTTGATTCAGACTCATAGGGACCCCCACTGGGTTTCCAAGGCAGTAAATCTTTCAGAAGTAGATTGCCTCATCTTTCTGCAGAGTGCCTACTGGGTTTGAGCTGCCAACCTCCTGGTTAGCAGTCAAATGCTTCAGGCACTGCACCACTCTGAGGTAGTTCTCTGTCCTATAGGGTTGCTACGCGTGGGAATCCACTCAACGGCACACAACTAGATCTAGTTTTGCTAACTATCCACAAGTGAGTCACTTAATCTTCCTGAGCTTTTTGGTTTCCTCATCTGTAAAATGAAGTGGTTATTGGACAAGATGATCTCTAAAGTCACTTCCAGCAATAAAATTGCTGTTGTAAACCTAAAGTTCAAACCCACCAGCCATTCCTCGGAAGGAAGGCTGGACAATCTACTTCTGTAGTGATACTGCCTCGGAAACCCATAGAGGGGTCACTATGAGTCGGGTCCGACTCGATGGCAAATAACAATAACAACAAAGGTTTCTTTCAGTCCTTTATGCATTCCTAATTCTGTATGTCACACACTTTCTGGAGTCAGGTTGAATGCTGAGTTTCACTTATCTGGTTATATTTGAAAAGCATTTTATTTCATCATCACTCAATGTTGAGAATCCAGAGAAAAACAATTTCCAATCTCAGAGTTCTCAATTCCAGATCAGATAATCATCATTTCTTTCACTCCCTTTGTGGTGGAATCAGATTGGTAGAACATTTTCTCTTTTCCTGGGGACCTAACCTGACAGAGATTACTCTGAGTAATTAGTTAAAATAGAACCATACCTAGCTTGTATAAGCCTTTGTACAAGTTGAAAATAAGGCATTGCTTCCTGTGGGCAGAAGCAGGCCTATGTTGGGGTTCATGGATTGGGGAGCAGAGCAGATCTGAATTTCTGCCCCAGTTTGTCTCTTTGGCTTGATAATCTTGTCCAGTGAACCACCTGCCTATGTTACACTGCAACCCTCTTTTCCATTTGTACTGCTTTCTCGGTACCTGCTTATCAGTTTCTCCTCTGATCTTTTTTATCAACAATATTGCAGAATATGAAATGGGGTATGAGTGTTGATCTATTTACTACCATGAAAGCATTTATTCTATAGTGTTTTGATGGCTACTCATGTGCTAGATACCTGTTTTAGGTTTGGATACAAAACAGAGGAGGAACTTGCAGCTTGGTGGTAGGTGCAGACAAGTCAACAGGTACACTATTGTACAGTGTGAAGAGTACTATAACGGGGATTAAAGATAAGGGATATCACAACATTTGAAATATCTCTATCCCTTTAGGTTTCTTGGTGGAAAATAGCCTAACAATATCCAGGCTTCCTCTGCTATCCAAAAGTACAGCATTCCTGTGAAAACTTTCGTAAGCTGAAATGCTTTAAAATGAAGTAGGAATTGTCATTGATTTATATGAGAAATTTTTTTGAGCATTTCCTGACACAAAAATAATCTACGAAGTAACACACAAAACCTAAAAGAGCACTAACATAAAACGTTCACAGACACAGCTCAAAGCTATGGTGGTTTAATGTTGAGATGCCAAGTGTAGTTTTTGGGAAAGGGTGTTGGCAACGCCACTCTCACACCGGTATACATTGCCTTTTCAGCTGTATGCTGCAAATGTAATGCTGAAGGGTAGTTTTGCTTTTCATCTTTTTCCGTAAAAGTGAAAATCCTCTTTGGATTTCTTTCGGTTAGCGAAAATCGGTGCCAATGTAAGTCTTACATAAAAGTGAAGTGGCATAAAATGAATTTTTGAAAAGCTGGGGATACCTGTAGCTATTTGGTCAGATTATTTTAGCCAAATTTTAACTCTTAAGGACAATATAATTCCTATTAATTAATATAATTCTCTGTAAGAAAATAACTGTTTATTCTTTATGGAATAAATATATTTATTGTTTAAATATGCTAAACGAGTTATACTGAGAAAATTAACCTCTTCCTGTCCATTGAGTAAGGCCACACTTTTATGTAGCATAACCTTCTTTGAAAGAGATATTGATCCTAAAAAGATGAAAAAAAAAAAAAAAAAAAAAAACCGACAGTCTAATTGGCAGGGGAAGGGAGTCCTACATTCTCTCTTGACCCCACAATCTTGGCCTAGACCTTGGTGAGGGGAAATGTAAATATTTGTTGGAGGTAAGATCACTTTGACCCAATGACAGTGAGCTGGGACTAGAAGGACAGATTCATGTGGTGGGCCTTAGACTGACAATGAGTAAAAGATACTTAAAAATGCATTAGCTCTTTTCATGTGACTGCATGTGTTTGTTTCCTTTTAATCCCTAGCCATATCAAGGCAAAGGAATAAAGCAGTTCTTCTCAAGTTTTCTTTTTCCTGCTTTAAAAAATCATCCTTATAAACAAAATGTAATATATACAGACAATGTAATATTATTCTGCCATAAAGAGAAATGAAGGTCTTATACATACTACAGCATGGATGAACCTTATGCTGGGTAAAATAAGTCAGACACAAAAGGGCAGATAGTGTATTATCCCACTTAACATGAAATGTCTAAAACAGGCAAACAGACCAAAATTTATTAGTGGTTACCAGCAGTTGGGTACAAAAGGAAATGAGAATTATTACTGAAGACATACTGGGTTCTGTCTGCAGTAATGTAAAACTTTTGAAAATGGATAATGCTGATGTTAGCACAACATAGTGAAAGTAATTGATGTCACTGAATTGCACATTTAAAACAGGTTAGAATGGCAAACATTTTGTTACATATTTATACAACAATAGAGAATTAAAAAGAAAAAGTTATCCTTTATTTGATGCTTCCTGCTACCACTCTGGCCTTTTTCTAGTACATTTTTTCAGGCCAAATGATCCTGATAGGAAGAGGAAGGTTGGGGCCTCTGTTTCAGTCCCCACCTGTTGAACAGGTGTCAGGTGGCTTCTCATTACTTTACATCATTAGTGTGTTCAATTGGCACAGCAGTGTCTGACCTTCCATGGCTGTATGTAAAGCATTCTATTGTGTTTTAATGATTACCAAAGACCAAGCCTCCTTTACGTAAGACAAAGAGATATGATTGATTCAGAGTCCTGGTTTGTGGGCCTGTGCTGCAGCAATAACCATGTAGATGTGGAATCAAGCAGAAGGAGTTCTTGTTGGCGGCAGGAAGGAAAGAAACCCAAATGGCTTGTACTGTAAATGGTTAGAGTAGCTCACTTGCACACTCCACCATTCCCCTTTCCCATTAGGCATATGATAGGGTCTATCTGGCAACAGGAGTTTGTGGGCAGTACAAACAGTTAATGCATTCACTGTGGTTTGAGTCCACCCAGAGATGCCTTGGAAGAAAGGCCTGGTGATCTACTTCCAAAGAAACCAGCCATTGAAAACTCTTTGGAGCACAGTTCTAGTCTGACACACATAGGTTCGCCCTGAGTCAGAATCAATGCAATGACAACTGGTGGTAGTGGTGGGTCTGGCAACAAAGGCCATCTTTCCTTTCCCACTTTTCATAAGTTATATGGTATAAATTTGTGTCACCTTTCCCTTAAAAATTTTCCCTGTTGTTCATTTCAACTTATTTTCATGTGTGTAAAAAACTAGAGGTAGTCTTATATAATTTGTTCTGAACCAGTATTCCACAATCCCACTTGAAATGGCTTCACCCAAAATATACAATGGAATGCATAGATTTTTAATAAAGGAGGGGT